GCGGGTAAAAAACTTCATCATGTGAAAGATTTAAGTGAATATAGTACTGGAGTACATACTGTGACTGGTGGTGGTGACTTAATTTATATAGACAGTAAGTTAAACATCATTAAATTATCTAAAGATCACAGAATAAAGACCACAGTAATACCCTACACAGCACCATGGGAACCACTGAGTGTCTACAGCTCCCCCTCCACTGGAGACCTGCTGGTCGGGATGTCTTCAGGCCAGGTAAACCGTTACACCAACACAGGAGAACACCTACAGACCATACAGCACGACAACACAGGTCAGAGACTGTATGAATATCCTCACTACATCACAGAGAACCGCAATGGAGATGTTATTGTGTCTGACTTTGACCGTTATGCTGTAGTGGTGACAGACAGAGGAGGTAGACATCGCTTCTCCTACACAGGTCCTACATCAGGATCAGGACTAGCACCATGGGGAATCTGTACTGACGCGCTGTCACACATCCTGGTGTGTGATTATAACACCCACATAGTACATATACTGGATTGTGACGGGGGACTCCTGTCACAGATAGACAGAGAACAACACGGGATAGGCTCACCACTGGGCCTGAGTTATGATGACAGAACTCACTGTGTCTGGATCGGTGCACTGAACAACAACACAGTGAACATTTACAGACTGGAACACTCCCTGACTGGTAAGTTATACTTAAGTATGATTGTGTGTTTTGTTTTACAGTGTTAAGTGTGTACAATGTATTTTTATTAGTGTATTATATGTATATTTACAAGACATTAATCAACATTTTTATTGTATTTAGTGTAATTAAATTACATGCATACCTGTCAACTCTCCCGATTTTTTCGGGAGTCTACCGATTTTGAACCCATTCTACCGCTTGTCTACCGATAAATTTTTTACCCCCGATTTCTACCGATTTTTAAGAAATCCGGAATTTTTACCGATTTCACTCTGAAAAATACCGCATTTCCTGTGAAAGCAAAGATGGCAGTTCATTGTTTATCGGTAGATACATGTTTATTGCCGCTGATAACAGGTAATCAACAAGGTGTCAACTGTGCTACGAGTGATTACTGGGGTTGTAATTACTTCCGATTCTCATTAGCAGAGTTTATTAACAGAGACAGACATGCCAGGTGTGGAAATTTTAGAAATACACATTAGAAAATGACAACGGGATACGAGCTAGTGTGGAATTAACACTCTGCAGCAAAATATGACAATATACTAATAAACGGCTTATAAATGGTATTAAGCTTAGGAAATATGGCATTCCTCATTATATTCTCGTACGAAGTCATTAAGCATGGAAAATACAGTACCAAAGTCAAAAAAGAAAAGGTACGTCTGCAAGTACCTAAATTCTTGGGAAAAGGAAGCAGAATTCCAAGGTTGGCTAACAAAAAGTGTGAAAGGCGAAGATCATGCTTTTTGTAGACTGTGTATGAAAAACATAAAGATTGAGCATGGTGGAAAAAATGATCTTATGAAGCATATTTCAACAGCAGCTCATCAAAGCAGCAAAAAATCACAGAACGTCACAATCCCTATACAAAATTTCCTAACAACTTCAAGTGATGAAGGTAAGACATTTCATTATTTAAAGAACTGCAAATTATACAAATGTTTGAAGTTGTTAAAATACATAATGAAATTAATTGAAATGTTAAGATTAGTGCAAGTAACAGACAAAATATCATGAGGGAAAATGCAGTTAAATGAGTTTTAATATTTTAAAAACATGAAAAAGGGATCCTACACATTTATTGTTCATATTTTAAAGTACATTATGTTGAGACAAAATAATTTCCATTTCAGGAGTTGTGAAAGCTGAATTTTTATTTTCAAATTTCATTGCCGAGCACAACATCCCCTTTGCTGTTGCAGACCACTTCACCAAACTCTGCAAGTCCATGTTTCCTGACAGCCAGATTGCTAAAAAATTTTCCTGTGGCCGCACAAAGACTACCATGATTGTCAAGAACGCCCTTGCACCTCAGCTTCACAAGGAAGTAGTTCAAAATTGCAGGACAAAGCCATTTTCCTTAGCCTGCGATGAAAGCAATGACAGAAACTCAGAGAAAACCCTTGCCATACTTGTCCGATACTTTGACAATCAGGCAGTGACTCGATTTTTGGACATGCCAATTTGCAACGTGGGAACTTCCCAAAATATATTTGACCACCTTGAGCAAGTTTTTATGTAAGTTCATTGTATAGAATATGTATTAAATATCCTTTTTTTTTTACAGATAAAGATTTCAATAATGGAATTGTTCTTAATTTATTAATGTATTTTGTAGAAACAACAACATTCCTTGGGAAAATTTGATTGCTTTCTCCTCTGACAACTGTAATGTCATGATGGGGAAGAAGAACTCTGTGATGACAAAGATCAAGGAAATGCAGCCACATGTTTTTGACATTGGCTGCATTTGTCATTTGGCCAATCTCTGCACAATGGCTGGTGTCAAAAGTCTGTCCCTTCCTGTAGATGACCTCCTTGTTGATGTCTTTTATCATTTTCATCATAGGTAAAACATTTATCTAATAAATACATTTACTGGTAATGTTTAAATTAATTTTAAGTTTTACATAGTTTCAAATTGCACACTTTATATCTATTATCTTGACCTTAGATTTTACTTCTTTTCTTTTAACAGTGCATTACGTAAGGAAACATACAAAGAATACTTGGACTTCTGTGATGTTGACCCTTCAAAACTTCTGAAGCACTGCTCAACTAGGTGGTTAAGTCTGGAGAAGTGTGTCAAAAGGTTGCTGCACCACTGGCCTGCTCTGACAAGCTACTTCAACTCGCACAGTGATGTAGAGAAGCCTGGACGAGTTAAGAGAGTGGCAGAGCTCCTCAGTAGCCATGAGATGAGGATGACATTCCACTTCTTAGGCTATGTGTTGGAGCCATTGAATGAATTCAACACTACATTTCAGGTATATAAACTATAATCTTAATTTATTAATAATTTTTATTTTATAAATCACAAAATTAAGAACTGTATTCTTATTCAAGTACTAATTTCTTCTTCTACCTTTGTAGGCTGATGAATCAAGGATTGGGTATCTTGGAGAAGAAATCCACAAACTCCTAAGAAAATTCCTTGGCCGTTTTATAAAGGCAGGAGTGATCAAGAATTCCAAGGACCTCATCAGTGTGGACTTCCAAAATCCAGAAAACCAGCTCCAAGATAACATTCTTGCAGTTGGAATTCTTACCAGGTCCTACATTGCAGAGAATGAAGAGGACATTCCACCAGTAGACTTGGCAAAATTTTTCCAGTAAGTTTAGATTCTGACCTTTTAATTTTTTTAAGCTGACAGTTCTCAGCTCAGTTTAAGTGAAGAAAGTGAATAATTAAGTTACTAAAAAACTTCCTTCAAACATTTGTGGTATGCAGTGTTCATCATGTAACTTTAAGGAATGTTGTATTAATATAGAAAAACTCATATTGATATTATACCTGTTTGTTTTTGTCTAATTCTAGGAATGTAAGGGGGTTCTACTGTGCCATCACAAAGAAAATGCTAAAGCACTTTCCATTCAATGACCCAGTCGTCAGCGATTTAGGATTCCTGAATCCTCTCAGAAGGGAAGAGACTACCTTGCAGTCTGTAGTGGAGATTGCCAAAAGATTCCCTGCCATAGTTCAGGAAAAGGATTTTCCAAAGTTGGAAGAGGAGCTTCTGGACTTCACTGTTTCTCCTGACTGTGACCTACCAAACCTTGAGAAGGGGCATACTAGAATAGACTCATTTTGGGGAGAGATGGGGAAAATGACCAACAAAATCTCTGAAACACCAAGATTTCCAATTCTGAGTAAAATTTCTCAGGCCATGTGCTGCATTCCAAACAGCAATGCAGATTGTGAGAGGGTGTTCTCCCTTGTGAGAAAAATTCAGACAGAACAAGATCTTCCATGGACAATCAGACCTTATGCAGTCTTCTTTGTGCTAAAATAAACTGTAGAGAGGAATGTCATCAAGTGACACCATCTAAGGACACTCTGAAACTTACAAAATCAGCTGCTTACAATTACAATAAAGAACATTAAAGTCCATCATTTGTTATTTCTTAGCTATCAGTATAAATAAAAAGAACGCGCGATGACTTTTTTACTATCCAAAAAGGTCGTCGCGCGTTTTCTCCCCCAAGAAAAATTTGGAATGTTGACAGGTATGTACATGATTAATTCTATTATTATTTAATTGTTGCATTAAGTAACAAGAAATATTCCTAATATGAGGATACATAAATTATAAACTGTTATTTATTACCTTGATAACTAAAGTAAATACATTTAGGATAAAATGCTTATTATTTAATTAGGTAAGCATGGTAAGAGGTCTTTAATGTGTACTTGGTTTAGCATGTTTAGTTATAACTTTGTTGTGTGTGACAAACTACTGATTTTGTTGAAGGGAAGTAAATTTAATGTAAAGTCGACATTTTGTACAATTCATAACAATCACATGCTTCCTGTAGAGCTCTTAAACCTACTATCACATTTAAAATATCACAGTAACAAAATTAAACATGCGTACAAATATTAGTCACACACACAGTATATTTATAAGATAATCTTGGAAACAGCCCAGTGATTTTTATAAAAATTATTATTCCCTTTTTTGCATAAACGTGATAAAAAGGGAAAAACAGATAAATAAAAGGTGATGATAATACTCATAATAACGAATTAAATTAAACACTACATCAAACATAGGGACATAAGGGACAGGTTGTATTTATAGTAGTAAGTATATAGTATAGTAGAGTTGACATAGACTGTCGTACATCACATACAATGTATAATCTTCTCTCTTTGGCTAATGAAATACATGTACAAAGACTCTCATTAATATTGTATTCTATTGGGTTGACATTTTATTGTCCACTTGACTACTACATGTACTAAAGTGAGTAAATCAGTACGGGTCCAGTTGTCTGGTTTGTAGGTTAACTTTAACAGGAAACAGGCGATGTACAGTTGTACAATGGGTGGAGTAGAGGGGGGGGGTTACATGATTGAGGGTGCGGGTATTGCAGATCAGGGATGTGGAGGGGGCAATATCGTAGTTGATATATGGTTCTTTTAACATTCTATTCAAACATAATTCAATTTTGATGACTAAAATATTTTACCAAATTTCAACAGATGACATTCTACACAAGATAACAGTGAGATATACACACCATTGATATTAACACAGCTATGTCTAGGAATGTTGTACAAGATGACATTGAGATATAGACACCATTGATATTAACACAGCTCTGTTTAGGAATGTTGTGTATTTCTGTAGCAGGTGTTCAGTAAATCTACACTCAGTGCACTGGGTTGACATTCTACAAGGACATGATGTATGTTAATTTTTTTTTTTTTTTGCCAATTGAAAATAAAAATGAAGCCAAATTTCAGAATTAAATTTTAAATAACCGTACCAACACTCTAAAGAAGAGGGGATAATATTGTTTTACCCTTGATGTGTGTCTGTCTGTCAGTCTGAAACAATTTTTTATGCGTTTGGATCAAAAGATCCGAGGCATATATTGTTTTTGTCCTGTCTGTCTTTTTGTCTGCAAACTTTAACCTTCGCCATAATTTTTGAACCATGAATGGTTGATCGAGACTTCATATTTGGTATGCCCACTCCACCAATGAAGCTCTTTCAAATGACACCAAGGTTAATGACCTTGTGACCTTGACTGTGACCTTTATGCTAAAAATTGGGATTTTTTGCAAACTTTAACCTTTGTCATAACTTTTGAACCATAAAAGATAGAGACTTCATATTTAGTATACACACAACACTTATTAAGGTTTTTCAAAAGACACCATAGTCAATGACCTTGTGACCTTGACTGTGACCTATATGCTAAATATAGCTTTTCTGACGGAAAACTTTAACCTTTGCCATAACTTTTGTATGAAGAAAGATAGAGACTTTATATTTATTTACTTCACTAATAAAGCCCTTTTACATGACACCAAGGTCAATGACCTTGAGTTGACTCTGTTTTATATGCTAAAAATAGCTTTTTTGAACCTTCAACATAACTTTTGAACCATGAGAGATACAGAGACTTCACATTTGGTATACATACTTCTTTAATCAAGATCTTTCAAATGACACGAAGATGAATGACCTTGTGACCTTGACTGTGACCTTTATGCTAAAAATATATTTTTATGGCGTCGGGCTTGCCCGATCGTCATCTAGGGATCAGTCAGGTTTACGCGACCGTATGTGTCAGTGGATGCATCCGCAATAGAAAATAGCAACAGCTATAAACCAATTTCTTTTAAAACGTTCACAATGAATAATGGCTTGAATATAAAATTAAATCAATTGTATCTTCAATAAAAACTACTACAAAACAACGATATTATGTTTAATTTTTACGCAAAAAAAAAACGTTATGGTTGTTGCTGATGAATTTCTACTGAGAGGGTGCGTCGAATGACATGAATCACATTTTGGGACCGATTACTGTAATACAAACAAAATTAAATACGGTAAAATAATTACAAAATAAACACGAATACAAGAAGACTATAAAGATTGAATTTCTTAATCTTAGCTTTACTTTTATGATCTTCAATCCAATTTTAGCCGAACAACCTACGATATTGACCAGAAATGCCAGTATTACTGTATTTATCCATTTCCTCCATTTGTTTACTGCGCCTTATCGTAAGTCGATCGTACTTGTAACATTAGAGTCATGGTCGTAGTTAAGATGCAATCACTATACAACAGAACAACACTCTGACAATGGCAATTAATTAAAATAATTTATGAAACCCTTCATATGTCTTCGATTGACTGAAAAGAAATTAGGTTGATATAGAGGATTGACATTTCTGACAATGTCTGGTCAATTCGAACCCCGACTCATTCGGACTAGGACACAAGGCTATCAGGCCCTATACTGTATTTGTGTTAAGACTATTTTTTTTAAATTTTATTATTATGTTACCGGAGTCACTCACTTGACCTATTTGCAGATCTTTTGAAATTGTTTTTCTTGTTCGACGCCATTGAAGCCTTTCAGGCTTTTGATTTAAATTTGTTGACGCCGGGCGCATAGTGTTTCACAAACACATCTTGTTTTCACCTTTTTTACCCAATAACTATATTCATTGCAGGTGCTTAAAATTTTTTTAAAGCACTCTCTTTGTTTTGCCATGCCACATAGTGGGATTCATTTTTATGCCCTGCCATGAATATGACCAGGGCATATACCGGTAGTGTTTTTCATGTCCATCTTCCGTCCTTCCGTCACACTTTGCATTTAGCTCTCTTCAAAGTTAAGTTTCAAAGAAACTAGGCAAGATATTTTCATCAAAGTTCCTATGCTGATAGATATTTGATGAGAGCAATGCAACTGCATCAACCTTTTTTGACCTTGACCTTTCCTTTGATCTTGACCTCACTTTTCTTAAATTAATGTTTAGCTCAGTTTTAAACATACCATTCAAGATGGTGTTATCAAACTTCACATGTTGATACAAACTTCCACGGATGATGCATCTAGGGATGAACACTACCAGACTTGCTTTTGATGCTGGATCTGACCTACATTTTCATTCCCAAGTAACTATAAGCCCTACCTGAACCAAACTTGCATGGATGATGCATCTAGGGATGAACACTACCAGACTTGCTTTGGATGCGATCTGACCTACATTTTCCAGATGAATGACGAGGTTAAAGTTTTTTGAGCAGGTCCTTTCCTAAGGATCTATAAGCCCTACTTGGACCAAATTTGCATGGATGATGCATCTAGAGATGGACACTACCAGATGCTTCGGATGCTGGATTTGACCTACATTTTCATTCCCAAGTAAATATAAGCCCTACCTGAACCAAACTTGCATGGATGATGCATCTAGGGATGGACACTACCAGACTTGCTTCGGATGCTGGATCTGACCTATATTTTTATTCCCAAGTAACTGGAAGCCCTACCTGAACCAAACTTGCATTGATGATGCATCTACGGATGGACACTACCAGACTTGCTTCGGATGCTGGATCTGACATACATTTTTATTCTTAAGTAACTATAAGCCCAACCTGTCCTGAACCAAACTTGCATGGATGATGCATCTAGGGATGGACACTACCAGACTTGCTTCGGATGCTGGATCTGACCTACATTTCATTCCCAAGTAACTATAAGCCCTACCTGATCCAAACTTGCATAGATGATGCAGCTAGGGATGGACACTACCAACTTTGTTCGGATGCTGGATCTGACATACATTTTTATTCCCAAGTAACTATAAGCCCTACCTGGACCAAACTGATAAAATTTTATTCACATACAAATTTTCATGTTGCTTTACTAATATATATCCTCGGGGAGGGCAGTCATGTCTCCTTCAAAGAAGGGAGGGCATATTGCTTTGCTGCTGTCGGTCGGTTGGTCGGTCTGTCTGTCTGTCGGTCCATTTAGTTTCCGTTCATTTTCTTCATAACCATTACACATACTGAAATGAAATTTGGTGTACAGGTATATCAGATGAATATCTAGATCAATTTCTGTTTTGGGTACGATCGCACCATGATTGACAGAGTTATGCCCCTTGGACTTTCAATTCCAATTATTTGCAGTTTCCGTTCATTTTCTTTGGAGAGTTTGCACATATTGAAATGGAATTTAGTATACAGATTAATCAGATGAATATCTAGGTCAAGTTCTATTTTGGGTACAATCGCACCATAATTGACAGAAAAGTAGTCCCAACCATTCCTTAAAGGTGAGAGGTTTGCACAAACTTGAATCTACTCTACCCGATAATGCTTCCACATAAAAACAAAATTTTTGGGATGTGGGGTGGGGCTATATAGGAATGTTACACAATTAAAACATGACCGTGGCGGCATGGTCACCAAGAAAAATTTTTGGGATGTGGGGTGGGGCTATATAGGAATCACCTAGTCGGTTTGTCTCA